ACAACTTTCCCAAACTGTGTTTTTCACAAGTTGTCGCATCTTTTTTTGAAAATGCAACAGTGTTACAGTTTGCATAACACTATCCGTCTGTGTATCCTTTAACCGGTAAAATACACTATTACCTATTGCTAAATATCAGTGCATAAGCAATGAAACAAAAATTGATTTTTTTTTCAATTTAAAAAATAAATATGAAAAAAGGTTAAATTACCAAGGAAAACATGATGTTCAAAGAGAAATGGCATTAACAGCGGAAGTGTTGTTCAGGCATTTTTCAGCTGTTGAAAGCTATTGAAATCTTAAAGTGACTTTATTCAAATTTAACTAAGTCCAATTACACTCGATATAAATGACCTTAACTCATAATAGACAACTGTGTATTGAGTGTGATGATCCAACACTGTATGGAAAAACTTGCCCAAAAACTTTAACCTGAAATTTAACTAAGTCCAATTAAGCTGTTTTTGGGCCATAAAATATGAAAATATTGCCCAGAACATTGCTAACACTCGATATAAATGACTTGAACTCATAATAGACAACTGCGGTATTGAGTGTGATGATCCAACAGTTTGGAAAAAACTTGCACCAAAACTTTAACCTCTGAAGGTTCCCGGACGCCGACGCCGGGGTGACTACTTTAGCCCCCCTATTCTTCAAATAGGCGAGCTAAAAAGTGAATTCCTGCATCAAATCTAAAGAATTAAATTTTGATACATACTGTGCCAGGTAAGCCATCAAATTGCTACTCTAATCAATTATCAAACTACAATATCAGCACTTCCATCTGGCATGGTGATGGGTTACAAAGATAAAAGTAGCATGGCAAGACTAAAACTTTCACAGGACTATTTTCGATTTTGTAAGTAAACACAGCCTGTTGTACACAGGGAAAAAATAGTGAAAAGAAAATATTCCCATATACATGTATTTAAAAGCTTATTTACAAGATGTACTTGTAAACCACAGAGTTTCATGGTTTGATAATTAAAACCATAAATATTCAGATTATGTACAGTACAATGTCGCATAAATACAGGGTTGTCTCCCATCTCATACTTCACTCTCTCACTCATTCATTCTCACACAAATACACTGAAAGACATGTCTAATTTGAGAAAAACATATTGCAGCTGTTTATGTACAAACTTGTTTTACACATTTTTCAAACAAAAGCATTAATTCAATAATTCATTTAAAAAATTAGCACTATGGGAAAGATAACAGGGGAGGGGGACAAAGTGGAAGGGAGGTTATTTTATGATCCATACTGCTCTTTTCCTGTGGCAAACTACACAAATGTTTTAGGCCACACCACCACCATATATTAATTACTTCCATTGCCTCTTTACCTCCCATTTCTTGAAATCTGGATTAATCAAACATGTTCCATTTTTAAGTTGAGTAATGAAACACTGTACAAAATTCTGCTAATTTCACTTACTACAGTCGAACCTGCTCATGTGACCACCCCCATTGTGAGACAACTTGTGTTATGTGACCACTTGTGTAACATGAACACCTGTGTAACATGACCATCTGTGTTATGTGACAACCTGTGTTAAGTGATCACCTGTGTTATGTGACCACATGTGTTAAAGAGACCCATTCTATTTTCCCCCATTGTATTGATTTCACTGTGAACTGAACCTGTGGTAAGGGACCACTTTTTGGACAGTATTAAGTAAATCAAAATGAAAATACTAAAAGTGGTATGACTTTATTTTTTAAATTTGAATATTTTTTTATTCAGATTATTTTTAAAGCAATGTATTTATGAGACATAAAATTCACAGAGTAAAGGATATCTTTCAGAACCTCACTTAACATTCACCCATGTTTTCTTGTAAATGAGTGATTTATGATAAGTAAAAACTTAAACGACTGAAATAGTGAGGTATAAGCCTTATCTAATCAATTTGTAAATTATTCTAGATGAAAACTAATGTTTCATTTAGCACCGAGCGTTAAGACAAATCCTCTATTCATGAAATGGAAAGGAACCGGATATCTGTAAGTGATGTACATAGTGTTAAAGCTCTTTAAACATTGCCAGACATACAATCAATTTGTGTAACTCGCAGACACAACATCAAGTCTCTCGCAGACAAGCAAAGCTTCATAACGATATTCAAAGAGAAACACAAAGACAAATGAATCTTATTTGATTTTACATCCACAGAAAATCATTTAAATCTTTATAGCTTATATAGAATTTATTAATTTATAAGTAACAATTTTTATATGTAAAGTTATTTATGCATAACAAATGTAAAATCAAAATTCACTCCTTCACACCTGTAACTGAAAATATTATACATGTAATAATACAAATCCAACGGTATCATTATAAATGAGTAGGGCATATTTTTCATTGTTCCAATCCAGGTATTCAAGTACCATAATCTACATTAAAAAAAAAGGCAAACTTATTCAGGTATAACACACATTGAGGCCACAAGGTATTGTTTCCCAACGTAACAAAAGATCTGAAAATTTCCTTATAGTGAAAGGTATGGAAATAAGAAAAACAGCAAAACCGATCTAAAGATCACCTGTCCTTAAAGACCACTTTTTGATAAATAAAACCTGTGTATGAAGACCACCTGTATTGACAATACCAACATTTTTTGTTATCTCCCTTGCTTTTTATTAATGCAAATTTTCCCAATCACAAAGTCATTCACATGTAAGACGAAGATTTTGAAGGCTCTGTAGAAGGTGAAGCTCGGTGAAGCTCTTGTTGTATAACGTCCTGCCTTCCAATCAAACAACATAATTGGGCTAAAAAATATACAGCTGAAAAAAATGTACCATACCTCTGTTTTTAACTTTTTTTCCTAAAAATCTTTTTTTCTTAAAATCTATTCGATCCCAGGACTCCAAAAGAAACCACTTCTCTCCATGATTGGGTTTCACACCTATAACTTTTATGCAAATCTAAGAGAAAATGAGATCTAGCGTCCCCTAGTGGATGTTTAGTGAAGTTCTGTGTACCCCAGTTGATGGATTCTTAAATGGAATTCACTAGTGCAGCCGTAAGAGTAACAGAAATTCAAAAGGAGAGCTGACCAGACAACATCAAACAGGGAGTCACAGCAAATTTAATCCAGTTTACATGTTTTGGCCTACTAGGTGGATGGTCATCAGTCAGCGCAAATCATTAATTTTATTTTATTGGTATTTACTCTAACAAAACCTGGAGTCCTGAGGTGGGACAGATGTTTTACTGGAAAGCCATTAATTTTTTTTTCTCAAAGTTTTACCGCAGACCATTTTCTTTTTATCTGTCGAGCTCATTTTACGTCGGAGTGAAAACAAACACATTTACATAGAATATGTAAATATATAAATGCTAGATAATCTTTAACATGTAAAACATTTCATTGGTGATATATATTGTTACAGAAATAACAACCCAACAATACCATTCAACAGTGTACCTTTTAGTGAGTTTATAACTTAACAGAGATATGAAAATTTATTAAAAATCTTACTTAAATAAATACCGGGGTAACGGAAAAGTACAACATTTCAAGAATAGACAAAATGTGAAAACAATTTTCTTGTAACTTTTTTAATTCACTACCTGGCATATGTGGAACATGGCGCTAACTCTGTATAACTTTTTGTTTTTGTTACACATTTGTTAACTCATTCACCCTTGAAGACACCTTTGAACTCTTCTAATTCAAAAGTTGGAAGGTTCATCATGAAATTTCAGGGGTGAATGAGTTTAACTTCCTGTATACTTAGACAATAGTTTCATTTCCATTATCAAATGATTCAATAATTCAGCAAAATTGGGTCTGCAACTGCCTCTAAAGGCTTGGGTCAAAATTGAACTTGAGTCAGGGAAAATCCTGAGCTGAGAGCCATTAGCATTTTCAGCATTTCTAAGTCATTGTGAAAAATTAGAGAGGCCATAATTTGTAAAATTGTAAGAAAAATGGTAAACAGAAAGAACTAATTTCAGTTTTGAATGGCCAAGGTCCATACGGCCTTCTTCGGAATTATGCCTGTGAGTGGGTAATTGATAATAAGGCAGGTGTAGAAAGTTTCATGAAAATCTAAGCCAACAATCAAGTGTTAAGCTCAAAATTTGGAAAAAAAGCGACTTTTCGTGAAATCCTAGAGAACGGCTGCTAGTCATGTTGCTTTTTAGATTTGGCTCAAAAAACACACCTGAGTGATGATATAATTATCCATAAAAAGTTTCATGAAAATGAAAGCATTCCCTCCAGTTATCACACGGAATCCATTCAAGTGGACAATGACGACACTGCCTATATGCCATCTTTGCAGGCGACACAAACACTAATGGGACATGAAAGGATCTAGTAATTTCTATATTTTTCAAGATTTTTATAGAAAAAATCTCTAGAATCTAAAAAAAATAAAAATTTAAACAAAAATAAATGTTGCAAAAATATTAAAGAAGCTAGCAATGAATAACATTTTTTCCATCATAGAAATAATCTTGTAAAGTAATAATTAGACATTTAATTTCTGGTATTACAACCATAATACATGTGTATGTTATTTCATTAACTGTAAAACAATTGTCATCTTTCCCTTTAAGCCTTAAACTTTTACAAGCTCATTAAAAGATCTAACATTATATTACTTTCAGATACAAAATTATGTTTTGGTATTGGTATTTGATGGACCTTGCAGCAACATTGACTACTTGAAGCATAACCATGCCCTGCTACATGATCGATGCCAGACATTAAGACATACATATGGTATATGTATACATAGTCACATCCTCAATATTCAGGGGTTATGCTCACTTACGCTCTCTACACCCCTGGAATATGTCATAGCCAAATTGAAGACTCAGTTTTGAAACTCAAGCTTCAGGACGAGACGAGAAGACTAGTTTGATCTTTTGATGTACTTTAAAAAGAATCGCATAACGGTAAAATTGACTTGCTTTGAAGTCGAGTGTCGCTCATCTGTAATCTTCAAAGGTCAGGTATCAGCCTAGTGATTGGTCAGGTATTTTTACCGGAGACCAATCAAATAGCTAGTCGCGTGCCTTCAATTTTGCTATAACATATTCCAGGGGTGTGGAGAGCAAAGGTAAGCGTCACCTCTGAATATTGAGGATGACATAGTCAATGGTTTTAAATCAAGGTTTAATATCACAAACAATGGTTCTTCATGTTCTCTTAAGTTTGTTACGCAAGTTATGATTGGTCAGTCTGCATACTGTTTGGTCCACTCATATTACACTACAGTATCCACCACATGCTGCTCCTTGACCTCCATTTGAATCTTGACCTGTTATACGTCTGCCCTGTGTGTCTGTCTCCCATAATCCAGGTGTCTGTATGATCTGTCAATAGTTAACAAATGATTGATATTTAGTTTTAAGGATCAATGTGCAACTGCAGGCAAAACACATGAGAATTCTACTGTAGTTATTCCTACATATTGTGACCTTCCCCGAAATCATTCACCCCTGAAAACACATTTTATCTCCTTTCAATTCAAAGGTTGGAAGAGTACATTATGAAATTTCAGGGGTGAATGAGTTGATTTGGTTTTCGATATAACTGAAGTGCATGTGGGCTAGTTTACTAACGGTAACCACATAACTCAGCTGGTTAAAGTGACAGCATAATGACTGGAGGTCCACTGCTCAAGCCAGTTTTTATCATCTATCATGTTTTCTCATAGAAGTTCTCAAATGTGAAGTGAACTTTTCAAAATGCAGCGTTTCTGGTTTATCTAATACTGAACAGATTACATAGGAAAACAGAATCACAATATCAATTGTCCATCACAACTCCTACCTTTTCCACTAGTTCTTCGAAAGCACACTGCACTCCCTCTTTTGTTTTGGCACTGGCTTCTATAAACAACATGTGGTGTTTCCTCGCAAACTTGAGTCCTTCCTCCTTACTAACCTCTCGTCTTTCCTGCCAACACGACACATAAGGTAAAATACACTAGAATTCAACATATGTGATTTTTCAAAAAGTCGACCAACCAAATAACAAGACAATCATTAAATTTTCAAAATCAATACACAGGAGTTTTCTTGCTTCTTTTCTTTAAAAATTAAATTTTAAAAATCTTCTTTTTTTTTCCGCTTCATAATGTTGAGTGATATTGATTGTTTGAGTGATAATTTAAGCAGAAAAATCTCCCATTTCACTTAATTTGGTATCACAATTTGCAAAATGTATTACCTGTGTTTCCTGCCAACATAAAATATCACATATAATACCCAAATGTTCAGTGTATTTCAATCCTCTGAAGCATCAGTAGGGATGGGCAATCATTTCTTAAATAAATGAATCTTTAACATTTAGTTTACAAAATCAATACACCTGAGTTGTCTCCCTTCATAATATTGGCTGGTTGTAACCGTCACTGTCGAACCAACCTCATTTATTCAAAAAATGATTGCCCTCCCCTAGTGATGCTTCAGACTAAATTTGGTTGAAATCCTCTCTGGTGTTTAGGAGATGCGTTTTAAAGCAAATGTAGCTAACTTTCCCTCCAGGGCCCTGCCCCCCACGGCTCCAGGGGTCAAAGCAACCTCATTTATTTAAGAAATTATTGCCCATCCCAACAGATGCTTCAGACTTAATTTGGTTGAAATCCTCTCTGGTGTTTAGGAGATGTGTTTTAAAGCAAATGTAGCTAACTTTCCCTTCAGGGCCCTGCCCCCCACGGCTCCAGGGGTCAAACCAACCTCATTTATTTAAGAACTGATTGCCCTCCCCTAGTGATGCTTCAGACTAAATTTGGTTGAAATCCTCTCTGGCGTTAAGCAGGAGATGCGTTTTAAAGCAAATTTAGCTATGTTCCCCTTCAGGGCCCTGCCCCCCTAGCCTCAGGGGTCAAACCAACCTCATTTATTTAAGAAATTATTGCCCATCCCTACTGATGCTTCAGACTTAATTTGGTTGAAACCCTCTCTGGTGTTTAGGAGATGTGTTTTAAAGCAAATTTAGCTAACTTTCCCTTCAGGGCCCTGCCCCCCACGCCTCCAGGGGTCAAACCAACCTCATTTATTTAAGAAATGATTGCCCTCCCCTAGTGATGCTTCAGACTAAATTTGGTTGAAATCCTCTCTGGCGTTAAGCAGGAGATGCGTTTTAAAGCAAATTTAGCTATGTTCCCCTTCAGGGCCCTGCCCCCCACGGCTCCAGGGGTCGAACCAACCTCATTTGTTTAAGAAATGATTGCCCATCCCTACTGATGCTTCAGACTAAATTTGGTTGAAATCCTCTTTGGCGTTTAGGAGGAGATAGGTTTTAAAGAAAAAGTTGACGACGGACGACGACGGACGCTGCGCCACAACATAAGCTCACTATGGTCCTTTGGACCAGGTGAGCTAAGAATGTAGGAGAAAATCTCTGGACAAAAAATCAAATACTGAAATGAACAACAGGCAATAACTTTTGGAAAAAATTGTCGAATCAAAATTCTTTTAAGGGAGACACAACTTCATATCATGATTATAATGTATACCAAGTTTCAAAGAGATCGGTCGAGGATGTAGGAGATTGCCGGACAAACAAAAGTTTCCGGCCGGCCGGACAACCCCATACCATAATACTTCCATCAAATTTGACGGGCGTATAAAAACAATTTGATGATTCTATCAGCTGTAGCTGCAGGGTACACTGCAGTTAAGACCCAAACAGGTTCTTCATTTATATCTTACTTGAAAATTTTAAATCAAGCCTTATCCTTTGATGATAAAAAATGTTTTGCGACTCACAATTGGCATTATATATATACCATAATCAACATTATATATATATACCATAATCAATGTTCTTACATTGTCTATCTTGTTTCCGACAAGCATTTTGATGAGATCATGTTTTGTTGAGAAAGTCTCCAATTCATTTAGCCATTGTTCTAGTTTGTTGAAAGAGGCCTTGCTGGTGACATCATACACTGTACATAATGAGAAGACAAACATTACTTAGATTAGACATTGTTTAAGTCTAACAGATGAATAGTTCCTTGTGCAAATAAATACTGCAGCGTAGAGCAGAAAATCTTCGCCCTTCATTGGTAAAATCCATATTCGTCGCCCTTAATATTTAATTACTATGCACCATATAATGTGAACTAATATTTGCTGTTATGATAAATTCGTCCTCATTACAGAGGGCAAAAACAGCGAGAGTTAAACTGCAGTGAAAATGTGTTTGCATACAGTAGTAGATGATATCCACTTTGTATACAGTAGTAGATGATATCCACTTTGTATACAGTAGTAGATGATATCCACTTTGTATACAGTAGTAGATGATATCCACTTTGTATACAGTAGTAGATGATATCCACTTTGTATACAGTAGTAGATGATATCCACTTTGTATACAGTAGTAGATGATATCCACTTTGTATACAGTAGTAGATGATATCCACTTTGTATACAGTAGTAGATGATATCCACTTTGTATACAGTAGTAGATGATATCCACTTTGTATACAGTAGTAGATGATATCCACTTTGTATACAGTAGTAGATGATATCCACTTTGTATACAGTAGTAGATGATATCCACTTTGTATACAGTAGTAGATGATATCCACTTTGTATACAGTAGTAGATGATATCCACTTTGTATACAGTAGTAGATGATATCCACTTTGTATACAGTAGTAGATGATATCCACTTTGTATACAGTAGTAGATGATATCCACTTTGTATACAGTAGTAGATGATATCCACTTTGTATACAGTAGTAGATGATATCCACTTTGTATACAGTAGTAGATGATATCCACTTTGTATACAGTAGTAGATGATATCCACTTTGTATACAGTAGTAGATGATATCCACTTTGTATACAGTAGTAGATGATATCCACTTTGTATACAGTAGTAGATGATATCCACTTTGTATACAGTAGTAGATGATATCCACTTTGTATACAGTAGTAGATGATATCCACTTTGTATACAGTAGTAGATGATATCCACTTTGTATACAGTAGTAGATGATATCCACTTTGTATACAGTAGTAGATGATATCCACTTTGTATACAGTAGTAGATGATATCCACTTTGTATACAGTAGTAGATGATATCCACTTTGTATACAGTAGTAGATGATATCCACTTTGTATACAGTAGTAGATGATATCCACTTTGTATACAGTAGTAGATGATATCCACTTTGTATACAGTAGTAGATGATATCCACTTTGTATACAGTAGTAGATGATATCCACTTTGTATACAGTAGTAGATGATATCCACTTTGTATACAGTAGTAGATGATATCCACTTTGTATACAGTAGTAGATGATATCCACTTTGTATACAGTAGTAGATGATATCCACTTTGTATACAGTAGTAGATGATATCCACTTTGTATACAGTAGTAGATGATATCCACTTTGTATACAGTAGTAGATGATATCCACTTTGTATACAGTAGTAGATGATATCCACTTTGTATACAGTAGTAGATGATATCCACTTTGTATACAGTAGTAGATGATATCCACTTTGTATACAGTAGTAGATGATATCCACTTTGTATACAGTAGTAGATGATATCCACTTTGTATACAGTAGTAGATGATATCCACTTTGTATACAGTAGTAGATGATATCCACTTTGTATACAGTAGTAGATGATATCCACTTTGTATACAGTAGTAGATGATATCCACTTTGTATACAGTAGTAGATGATATCCACTTTGTATACAGTAGTAGATGATATCCACTTTGTATACAGTAGTAGATGATATCCACTTTGTATACAGTAGTAGATGATATCCACTTTGTATACAGTAGTAGATGATATCCACTTTGTATACAGTAGTAGATGATATCCACTTTGTATACAGTAGTAGATGATATCCACTTTGTATACAGTAGTAGATGATATCCACTTTGTATACAGTAGTAGATGATATCCACTTTGTATACAGTAGTAGATGATATCCACTTTGTATACAGTAGTAGATGATATCCACTTTGTATACAGTAGTAGATGATATCCACTTTGTATACAGTAGAAGATGATATCCACTTGTAGACCTACTGCAATTTTCATAGACCAGACTCGGACCAAATATGTTTACTTAGTTTCAATTAATTCTTGATGACAGGAAATTAAGAAAATATGTGTAATTATTAAGACAGAAAGAAAATTATTTACATCAAACTATTTCTCTCAATACTATAATTGTCATTGAATAACACACATCACTGACAACTTGCTCTCGAGTGCTCAACTTATTTTCTTGAATGCTGGAAGTGAAGTGGTCGACACACCTGAGTGCAAACAATACTATTATGAAGCGATTCATATGTAAAGTCTAAGTTGAGTGCTGGAGGAAATATGTCAAGCACTGGAGATAATTAATGTAAAAAATTGTGCTATATGTTCCATTGTATATATCAATGTTTACTTTGGAAATAATAGTAGAATTATATTGTTGACAGCTCTATGTATCCGAGTCAACATGTATCAGCCTTTACAGAATATAAGTAGTACGGTATTGTGTATATTGGAGCCTTTCATCAATTATTTCTGCATATATGAAATATATTTACTGATCAGATATAAACATACCTAGAATGACACCCTGAGCTCCTCTGTAGTAGCTTGGTGTCAGTGTTCGGAATCGCTCTTGACCTGCAGTGTCCTATAATAAACACAGTAAGACATTCTTAGTTATCATATATGTACATGTTGTATCTAGTCACTTGCTACTATCTCAGGAAACAGACATTTTATTGTAGCCATGGAATAAAACTGCAGTAAAACAAGATGGGCTCGCATTTTTGTGTTTGTATATTATTCTATGTAATTATAATTATATGTTTATAAATAAGCAGTCATGTAGGGGTGCAAGAAATCTCTATCTTATATGCCATTTACAAGTGGAGCGTGGAGCATTAAGTGTGACGTCATAATGGAATGGAATCAATGACATCATGCCCTACAATCAGATGACGTGATGTCATGCCCTACAATCAGATGACGTGATGTCATGCCCTACAATCAGATGACGTGATATCATGCCCTACAATCAGATGACGTGATGTCATGCCCTACAATCAGATGACATGATGTCTTGCCCTACAATCAGATGACGTGATGTCATGCCCTACAATCAGATGACGTGATGTCATGCCCTACAATCAGATGACGTGATGTCATGCCCTACATTCAGATGACATGATGTCATGCCCTACAATCAGATAATGTGATGTCAGCCCTACAATCAGATGACGTGATGTCACGCCCTACAATCAGATGACATGATGTCATGCTCTACAATTAGATGACGTGATGTCATGCCCTACAATCAGATGACGTGATGTCATGCCCTACAATCAGATGACGTGATGTCATGCCCTGCAGTCACCAGTATTTTCATCTGATATGTAGATTTTACATAAATTGTAGGAAAGATATGAAAGAAAAATTCAAAGCTTAACACATATCTACTGACAGTGAAAAAATATCTCCCCAAAACCAGAAAATATTTGTAAACAGTTCATAAATCTCCACTCCCTGTTTGATAGAAAAGAACTCTTAGGATCTAAACTAGACAATATAGATAACAATAACCTACATTTGAAATGTTGATGAAGTTCTCTTCAAGATAAATATATATATATATATAACCAAATTCAAAGTTTGATGACAGTTCAGTTGACAGTCTGATATCATATATTGGAACTAAACCAAGACATCATACGGACAGATGAACCTTCGTACAGACCCAGGAAAAAGTTAACACTTTGATCAATATAAGCCAACACTGCCATATCATGTTGTGGGACATGAACATTTCACGTTAAGAGTACATACTTACAGTTTATTTCAAAAAGATACATACCCAGATTGCAAGTTTTGCTTTGTTACCATCAACCTGTAGAGTTTTCACTTTAAAGTCGACACCTGTCAGAAATGCGAGAATCAAAGTAACGATCCATATCTTTGAGTACATGCATGTATACATTACATTATAATGGTAATACTCCAATAGGTCATCTAAATGTAATTCTTGTTTTCTCTTCAAAGCGAATGTTTATTTACTGGTTTGTGTCGTAATAACAACGTTAAATTTACGGTAAACCTCCGGTCAGTTCGAATCGGCGGATAGTTCGAACACATATTTTTTTCAATTAAAACAATAATTTTCTAGCTAGTGATAGTTCAAACTCTGATTGACCCTATTTCGGATAGTCTGAACTTGTCAAATGAAAACGTAAAGTAAGATTTTTTTCGGCAAACTCCATTGAAAGCTTGCGGCGATCGGCCCCGGAAAAATGCTTTGATCAACAGACACGTCTATAAGGGTAATGGGTTGTATGTGTGAGCATTGCAGTACAGCTGTGACAGACAAACCATAAATATATGTCACAGATTTTAGCGTTGATTCATTTTTTTTACATTGTTTGAAAAATACATCGTGCACGAGACAGCCAATTGCAACTTAGGCCCCGACAATGTATAAATAACATGCGATCAGTACGAACTGATGTCACGCTGTATGGCTGTACGCTAAGAAATCGCCCGTGTGTTGTCAAATACAGTGTTAACTAAGCATTATGATTATTTTATTGCGACCAGACATCCCTTAATTATTGCCAATCAAGGTATTACCTGTAAACGTGTGCCCTCACACCAGGTATCTGGGTACCGTAGGGCAGGACACGATGTCGCGGTAGGAATCGGCCGCCCAGCCATGGCAGGGACAGTATATGGTCATGGTGAGCGACGAGATTAGCATTCATGTCAAAGCCCAAACAATCCACAGGTGTCCCAATTAGCGATGGGTAATTTTGAAGGTTTCAAATAAATTTGGTAGGTATTAGGACTATATCACTTATAATTTAAAGCAGACATGTTGATGTTCTGACATAATTTTACTAACATATAGACCTATATTTACTGTACAGTAGCGCCTTGTAAACGCAACAGGTTATGTAGACTATGTTTTCAATTTATTAAACGGACCATTCATTACGAAATAACATATACAATAGTTTCTGATTCAAATAAAACCTAACCACGCAGATATTTAGGTCTCTGATACAAGCTAGTATAGGTAGTCTTAACTTTTGTGTCACAAATGAAACGTGTACTGTTTCGGGGCCTACACAAGGGCCTCTGCTTCGCAATAACGATCATAATTATCACGAAATGAAGAAAGTTTAATGATCAATTAACATTCAATTAAATAATATACTATCATTTTACCCATTTATAAATGTGCCATTGTTCTATGCCAGGCCGTCGTTGTTACGTATCGACCTTACATTGGATATATAGAGGCATATTACTCTGGTGAAGAAAATATGTCGGGTATATGTTTGTGACTTCATTTGCACTTTGCCGAAATTTTTGCCGATAGTTCGAACTCACGCTTATTTTCTGAAGCATAATTTTGTATAATCCGAACAGGTTCTTCAATATTTATTTAATTTTGTTCGAACTGACCGAAGGTTTACCGTAATTCAGGTGTAATGGGCTATACAACATCCGACGGGAGGTTATTCAGCACTATTTATTATAGTTTATATGTTTTGGCACACTAGGTATGCCATCTTCGGAACCAAGTTAAGTTTAATTTCTAGTCATATGGATATGTTGTCCAAAGATCTAGACGATGGAGCAAAATCATGACTATTAAGTTCAAAGGGACGCTTGAATGCGCTATCTCACTGAAATGCCATTAACCTGTTCACTTATTCTGCTGGGTGCCTTTAACTCATTCACCCCTGAAATTTCATAATGAAAGTGTGTGAAACGAAAGAATGTGAAACGAAAGTGTGTGAAACGAAAGAGTGTGAAACGAAAGAGTGTGAAACGAAAGTGTGTGAAACGAAAGAGTGTGAAACGAAAGTGTGTGAAACGAAAGAATGTGAAACGGAAGTGTGAAACGAAAGAGTGTGAAACGAAAGTATTTGAAACGAAAGAGTGTGACACGAAAGTGTGTGAAATGAAAGAGTGTGAAACGAAAGAGTGTGAAACGAAAGTGTGTGAAATGAAAGAGTGTGAAACGATAGTGTGTGAAATGAAAGAGTGTGAAACGAAAGTGTGTGAAATGAAAGAGTGTGAAACAAAAGAGTGTGAAATGAAAGAATGTGAAACGAAAGAGTGTGAAATGAAAGAGTGTGAAACGAAAGAGTGTGAAACGAAAGAGTGTGAAACGAAAGTGTGTGAAATGAAAGAGTGTTAAACGAAAGAGTGTGAAACGAAAGTGTGTGAAACGAAAGAGTGTGAAATGAAAGCCTGTAAAACGAAAGAATGTGAAATGAAAGAGTGTGAAACGAAAGTGTGTGAAACGAAAGTGTGTAAAACGAAAAAGTGTGAAACCAAAGTGTGTGAAACAAAAGTGTGAAACAAAAGTGTGTGACGAAAGTGTGTGAAACAAAAGAGTGTAAAACGAAAGTGTGTGAAACAAAAAAGTGTGAAACGAAATAATGAGAAACGAAAGAGTGTGAAACAAAAGTGTGTGAAACGAAAGAGTGTGACACGAAAAAGTGTGAAACGAAAGAGTGTGAAACGAAAGAGTGTGAAACGAAAGAGTGTGAAATGAAAGTGTGTGAAATGAAAGAGTGTGAAACAAAAGTGTGTGAAACAAAAGAGTTTGAAATGAAAGAGTGTAAAACGAAAGAGTGTGAAACGAAAGAGTGTGAAACGAAAGAGTGTGAAACGAAAGTGTGTGACGAAAGAGTGTGAAATGAAAGAGTGTGAAACGCGACTGAAACTGCTTTGCTCGACTTATCTTTCCATTTTGTGTATCAAAATAACTCAGAAAAGCATTCATTAGATACAGACACGCCTGTTTTGATAATAACACACCCTGCAGTAACTAGGAGATAATAACACACCCTGCAGTAACTAGGAGATCATTTGACCACAAAATGTAGAATTCAAGTTTGTGTGAGTTTGGACTTGAATGGGGAGTTTCAAGAGAGATTGGTAAATTTTGGTCAAAATGAGGGAGTCTTCCTCCTAATGAGGGATAGGCGACAGCTAGGAGTCGCATTACTTTGACTGCAGCTGACCAAAGGTGCCTAGCTAATAGCTAAAGTGATCTGGAAGTTACCAAAAAACTGAAAGAGTAGGTTTACAAGAAATGGATAACTTATGTTACACTTTGTAAAGAATCTAACTTAATAGTATATGACACAAGTCTGAAAATAATCTCTTTGTAAGTAGGAATAGACAACAGTCATATATTATAAGACTTATTAATAAGAGCAAGAATTTTAGATCAAGGATTTTCATAGATATTATATTTCAACAGAAAATATATGTCACAGTGGCCTACTGTACCTTTAAAATATTGGTGTTGTACTCCTTAAGATGCACCCACATATGAAATATGATGACTATTGAACTTTTAAACAGTATAGTACACTACTGGTAACCCTGTTTGTTAAAATTTGCCCGCCAATGTACTAATACTATAGCAATTATAAGCTAACAAAAATACTTCCATTTTAATAAGATCAGTTAAATCTGTACTGCCAGGAATATATTTGAGGCAGGTTAGGATACTTGTACTGCAACATTTATATTTTAACATTTGTGAAGAAATGTGTAGTACAGAGTACTTCTTTCAATTTTCCCCTCTAACCCTTCACCACTGTAGACCATGATAGACTTATCCAGATCAATGCATGGAAGAGTTTTCTAAAAATTTACATAGGGGTGAAAGGGTTAAGGCTAATTCATCTTTATGTAATGGAGCAAAATGCTACGTCTAACCAAGATTTTGTACAGACAGATGAAGATTCAATGGAAAAGGTAAACGAACTGTGGTGGGGACATAGTGATATGGATTGACAAACAGGTAAACATGTAATACTGACCTATTGTGGCTGCCTGCTCTGGGTCAAATGTGTCATCTGTGAATCTCAGCAACAAACTACAACAAACAATAGATCTATTGTAATAAGAGTTCAAAGTCTGGGTACAGGCCTAATAACGGTACAGGCCTAATAACTAATCAAAACAAATACCTCACAGGATCTAATAATTTGAAGTGAATTTTGGATTGATAATTACAGGTACAATCATAATTCTTACAAGAATATGGTACAATATCAAGGATACAGTATTTCAAATAAAGATGTCAGTAATTAAAAGGTTTTTTTATTAAGGGGAAACTGGTGTAAGCTTTTATTGAAGTTTGGTTGCACCTCCATCCTTCACCCATATCTACAAGTAATTTCTGTTTGGTAATAAAACTATATCTGCTATGGTTTTTAACTTTTTAGCAATTTTCTGTTTGATTAATCTATTTATCATATGTTTACTAATAATAACACCCTTTTTGTATGTGTAATAAGTCTAAAATTTCCACAAGTTGATATCAGCCCGGGTGATATCACAACCCCTTAGAGTGATAGCACACACCCTTGAAAGTGATATCACACCCCCTAGAAAAGTGATATCACACCCCCTAGAAAAGTGATATCAAACCCCCTAGAAAACTGATATCACACCCCCTAGAAAAGTGATATCACACCCCTCCCAAATTTCCTGATTTTGCCGCTTCCGCTTAATGCGGTCTTCTTTTAATGTAATCGAACGAATTGTTGGCATGGGATAACTGCGGTTTCATGGAAAATAATTTAAAGATTGTTTTACCTAAGTTTTATTAACCATATCATTTTGTAGGGACATTTGACCCCTGTGACCTTGAAAGTTGGTCAAGGTCATTCATTTGAACAAACTTGGAAGTCCTTTATCCAAACATGCTACAGGCCCAATTTCAGTACGCTGGGCCTTTTGGTTATTGAGAAGTGGTTTGAAGATTTTACGACATTTGACCCCTGTGACCTTGAAAGTGGGTCAAGGTCATTCATTTGAACAAACTTGGTAGCCCTTCATCCCAGCATGCTACAGGTCCAATATCAGTATCCTGGGCCTTTGGTTATTGAGAAGAAGTGGTTTAAAGATATTACGACATTTGACCCGTGATGCTACTGCAGGCCCAAATTTCAGTACGCTGGGCCTTTTGGTTATTGAGAAGTGGTTTGAAGATTTAATGAAATTTGACCCCTGTGACCTTCAAAGTGGGTCAAGGTCATTCATTTGAAGAAACTTGGTAGCCCTTTATCCGAACATGCTACAGGTCCAATATCAGTACCCTGGGCCTTTGGTTATTGAGAAGTGGTTTAAAGATATTACGACATTTGACCCCTGTGACCTTGAAAGTGGGTCAAGGTCATTCATTTGAACAAACTTGGTAGCCCTTCATCCCAGCATGCTACAGGTCCAATATCAGTACCCTGGGCCTTTGGTTATTGAGAAGTGGTTTAAAGATATTACGACATTTGACCCATGATGCTACTGCAGGCCCAAATTTCAGTACGCTGGGCCTTTTGGTTATTGAGAAGTGGTTTGAAGATTTTACAAAATTTGACCCCTGTGACCTTCAAAGTGGGTCAAGGTCATTCATTTGAACAAACTTGGTAGCCCTTTATCCGAACATGCTACAGGTCCAATATCAGTACCCTGGACCTTTGGTTATTGAGAAGTGGTTTAAAGATATTACGACATTTGACCCCTGTGACCTTGAAAGTGGGTCAAGGTCATTCATTTGAACAAACTTGGTAGCCCTTCATCCCAGCATGCTACAGGTCCAATATCAGTACCCTGGGCCTTTTGGGAATTCAGAAGAAGTTGTTTAAAGTAAAAAGTTGACACCGGACGGTAGCCGGACACCTGACGGACACCGGACGCTGGAAGCCGCACCATGCCATAAGCTCACTTAGCCAGCCCTCCAGGCCAGGTAAGCTAAAAATGTTAAGTTCAAAACAGGTCAAAAGTCTAAAATATTTGAAATTACTTTTTAATTTTAACTTGACTTCTTATATCTTACCCCACAGGAACCTCCATGCAAAATATCAGCATCCTAATACACAAATTTAATGAATGACAAGCGTCTAAATAACTTGCAGGTAAAACTTTAATATTTTCACCCTGACGCTCACGCCGGGGGTATTAATGTTCTTAGAACAGGCGAGCTAAAAATGAGCAGGAAATCAATAAATTCTTTTTTGGAATAATAAACAATTATAATAAATAAACAGGAAATTAATAATCAGATTTGTTTTCTGAAATTTAACATTGCCTATAGCTTCCTTATTTCCAATTGATAAAAAGTTTTTTGAGAAATTTAATAAGGTCATGTGAAAGTACAGATACCTACAAATATGTAAACTCTCACATAATAGATCATACACCCTGTATAGAGATAATATACCCTAGTTAAGTTTCATGGTTCATTGGTGGGCAGTAAGCCAAAAGTAATTAATGACACTGATAATTATATAAATGAACACCTGGTTGTGTACCTCAACACAGGTAAATCTTTCAATTCTTTTTGATGGTCCAAATGAAGTGATGTTATATAAAACAGACAAGAGATAAACAGAACCACATGTCATGTTACATAATTTTTTCTTGGTGGGGGCCTGGGGTCTTGTTTCCGGGTGTGACCCGGACAACCTGGGTGAGTTGACAGGTGTGCATGTATGAAACGGATTATATAATCCTAGAGGGGAACATGTATTGTTATACAAGAAATGCGGTATTAGTCTGGCCTGGCTAATATGTATACCTACTGAGCTCTATTGTATGTAAATCTCTAGCTGTATATCCACCTTCCTGAAATAGCTCTTTTGAGCTTTTTTTCTTCTATTTTTAAGAAATTGACACTCAGTTGAATTTAACAAACATCTCATCATTATGTTGATCACAGAAGACAGAATCTTAAGAAAATTTGAGAAACCAAAATGGAACAATTCATCATATAAGTCAGTTTATGAAAATAACTGACAGCATTTGAAATAATATTTCTATATTTCAAAAAAGTTTTGACAATTTCTGACAAATTTTAGTAATTATACAATTTTCCATGTTTAGAAATATGATGGAATATTTATGTTAACTTGAAGCACCGTTCTGTTTCCCAGGAGGTTTTTTTCATTTCAATTTTTTCAATATTATAAATCTTGGTTGAGAATGCATACCGTTCAGTTTTATGGAAAATGAAAAATGCTGCATCAAATATATCAAAAGCGTTCCATTTTGGGGACCCTAGGCTACACTGCTAAATCACTGAATCAGCAGTAACGTTACTAGTCAGTGTGGACCTAAAAGCATGTGATGAGTGAAATGTGCTGTAAAATGCACACAAGTAATCAATATTTATTTATTGTTGATACAAAATGACTCCCAAATAACTGTCTGTTTAAATATGTGTGCATCACGGACTTAAATAGAAAATGTGCATGGTTCAGTAACCATGACCCTATTCATATATATGCCAATGTCTATTTTTAGTAACAACAGACTTGAGACATCAAAACAAACGAACGTGACACAAGAATAAAAGTTTGTTTTGATAACAGAACCTTATGGCATTCAAACCTATAGGTGTCCTGTTTTCAAAACAAGTCAAACTTAAACTATGGTAAACGGTGCAGCATAAATTGTATAAAACGAATGCCAAGCAACATTTTTATCAAATGTCAATTTTTTTCTCTTGTGTACCTTGATTTCCCAACTCCACTTTCACCTATTATCAAAATCTTCAATGTTGTTAAAACTTCGTGTTCGTCCATGCTTTCTTCTTCACGCAGATGAGAGTACTTGGAAAAAGAAACAAGAGTAATTGAACGCAGGCTGGTAAAAATAGACGATGATTCAATGTATGAATCCAGAAAATGATATGGCGCAGTTTACGTCCATATGTGTACACGTCATCAGAAATTGCGTTGTCGGGAACAAAGTGCCGTTTGTGTCGGCAAATATGATTGGTCAAACAATTGGGAGTTACAAGAGAAGGCGGCTGTTTTGACAAGAGAAGAAGCACTTGTTGTTACTAAAATGGTAAACTGCTCATAAATGTAGTCATACTGACACATCATGTAATAAGTTTCAAAATTGTTACAGCCCAGTGTCAACGTTTTTTGTGAAATACAAAATCTTTACGATGCTAACATGCATGTTAAAAAGGTAGGCTGCTTCAGCATCCGACACAGGGACCTGGCAAAGTTGTACTATACTGTATCATGTACAGTAGGGTAGATACTGTATCATGTATTTCCGTGCAGCCATTTTATCAAGCTGTATCTCGTAACTACGTGATCAACAAGGATATTTTAGACGTTTGGTCATCGTCTGTAAACTGACACCAGAATTATCGGAAATTCGTCCGGAAAACATAAGAAATAATCACTGATTTAAAAAAACAAGCATAAATATGCAGTTTTGCTTAATGCACTTTTTATCTTGCTCAAAATGAACCCATACCCGAAAAAAACCTTTTATATTTCATTCATGAACCAGTCTTTTCTGTAGTCTGACAAAAGTAATGATAGCACCAAATATATGTGTGGCACATGTATGCGACAATACAGTGACCTGGGAACACCGAGGCATTGTGTGCGAGTCATGTGATCAATGGTACCATACAAGCTGCCAAAATATTCATTGTAAAACTTACCAGGACCTCAATGATAGCATGGTGAGCTGGTATTGTATTATTTGTGACCAACCAAATTACAGCTCATAGCTTATGATCTACATGGCATCGAGCACATCAAATCGTTATGATACACTCAATAACATCATGAGTCCCACAGACGGTAGCTTCAACAAAAGCAATGATATATGCCAAATAGACCCCTTCATGCCTCGACTCCGTTACGACGGAGAAGCGGAGAAACAACATGGTCAAACCAAAAAATGTAAAGCCCCTGCGGGTACTAAATGTAAATTTCCAGTCAGAGAAAAATAAGCAACATCTCTTCCTAAACCTACTCGAAAGTACCAAGCCTGATGTAATATTCGGAACAGAAACATGGCTCGATCCATCAATAAAAGACTCGGAATTTATACCAGATAAGTGTCAAATGTCGAATGTGGATAAGAAAGGGGGTGGGGTACTCGTCGCAATAAGATCTGACTTTGTCAGCGATGAAGAACAGACCTCACCAGTAAAGAGGACCCAACTGAATAAGTATGGGCTCAAGTAAAAAATTTTGGAATGAAAACACTATACCTAGCTTCCTTTTATAATCCCAAAACATCAGATGAGAATAGTCTAAAGGGTCTAGAAACATCACTCAGGAAGGTCATAAACAACGCCCAAATCTTACTAGGTGGGGACTCTAACTATCCAGGCTGGGACTGGAAAAACAAAATCCTAAAACCCAAAACAAATCATCCCAAATTACACTTTGATTTTGGTAACTTATTGGACGATATGGGTCTTACACAGATCGTAGAACAAGCTACAAGGAAAGATAACCCTCGACCTAGTAATTACAAACATACCAAACCAGGTTATTTTATCTAAGGTCATGCCTGGTATATCAGACCACGACTGCATGTGCATGTCTTTTTTGAGCTTAATTTAAGTCTACAAAAGGCTAAAACATACATGGAAACTCTTCAAATCAACCCTCTGTGATCTCATTAAGGACAACATACCTCATAAAACCATCAAACCCAAACCTAGTCTACCTTGGGTTACTCCTGTCATTAAACACATTCTCAGGAAAAGAGATCGACTCTACAAAAAGGTTAAAAAGTCTGGTGATCTGAACATGAGGACTAAATACACGGCTCTAAGAAAGAAACTCAGAAGGTCCTACTGGCAATATGTTGAAGGCATTCTTACCCCACAAGAAAATGACAGTAATTTTAGTGCCTCCAAAAGATTCTGGTCATAAATAAAGCATAAGAAGATCAACTATAATGGTATATCATCTCTAAAATCACATGGTAAACTTGTAACTGACCCTGTAGGTAAGGCTGAGACCCTTAACACTCAATTCCAGTCTGTTTTTAGCCCGGGTGGTAAATTATCCTCTGATGAATTCCTTAAAAAAATGAATTTCCCATCTTCCACCCAGTACCCCATTATGCCAGAATTTGAAATCACTCCAAATGGCGTACAAAAACTACTGCAAAATTTAAACCCTAGTAAAGCAACTGGACCTGACGAGTTGAAGCCCAAGATCTTGAAAGAACTCTCTTCTGAAATTGCCCCTGTCCTCTCTATCATCTTAAGGTGGCTCCACACATCGTCATCAGCGTCCATTTTCGTGAAGCTCGGACTCAATTATCTTGATCGAAATGTGCATGTACACCGTGTTGTCATTTCCGTATTGCGTATCGGGCATTCAATATCGTAGTGCAAATTATAGTAACACCTGGGTCGTTTTCGTTTAAACAGTCAAACCGATCAGACCACTGTTGTTCGTTTATTAAATAAGGTCAGACCTAGTAATCTGATGCTGCTTTCAGGCGAGCCTTGAGAAAGCCTTGCAAGGCCTGCAAACACATTTGCAGGTCCGCCAGGATTTACACCCGAAATTGTTACATTTATAAACGGTCAAACCGGTTGCTCCGCATAAACGAACAGGCCCCTGGTGAACAATAGTACACGTGCGTGCCGATGATATGTCAACACCCGATATCGAGATTTTACCGGGAAATGTATAATAACATGTACTTCAGGAATAAAGCTTTCCAATTCATAGACATAAACAAACTCACGGGAAGACATTAACATGAGACCAAACGACCTCAAGAAGGTCATATAGGAAACGCATGGAATGTGGATGTATCGACCTCACATGTGCATATCACGTGCTTACACTAGTTGATAAGCTTGAGGTCGTTACGATTTTTCGCTGTTGAGGGAGTTTCGCTCTGTCGATTAAATCGTGTTTACAAATGTAGTCTACTTATTCTGTGAAAATAATGTTTTGTAAAATATCAAGATACCTATGAAATACATGTGTGAGTGCACGTGAGAACGTCATACCATGCGATAGCCTCTAGTCACAAATGTACCTGACATGTAATTATAAATATACCGTGAGTTAGCGGACTGTGGAATGATGTCCAAAGTGTACATGACTGAGGGTAATTTGGTTCCATTTAAGAACAATAAATTGATAATTTTGATATCATATTTTTTATTTATTTCCATCATTTTTGTTATATGTAAACAGAGACAACTGTCATTGTGTAAATGTCACCCCTCTGCAAAAAGTCCTGATTTTTTTCAAGGAAGAAAACTCTCACCCGGATCGAAGTGATTGTAAAATGTAAAATAAATTAATTATAAAGCCATTGTATATATTTTGTTCAATTTCCCATTCTATATGTAAAGATCTTTGTGTCCTGTTTGCTTTTAGCTTGTAGATAATAACTTTTATCCGTACAAATTCAATAAAAAAACACTTTGTCTAACATGTGTTACATATTTTGCGATAAATAAAATATTTGTAGGGTTAATTAGAAATGCTTCTTTTCATTTTGTTATTGTTCCGAACAATGCCACACACACACAAAAACGGAAAATATTAAAATTGACGAAAATTCAATTTTTTGGTATATTTTCCAAAAAGGCCCCAAACTATCGGAATGTTTAGATTTTCATAAAATCAACTCTACATAGTTGCATAACCATTATATGAAAGTTTCAACAAATTTTGCTGGTTAATTGCGAAAGTGTGGAGCCACCTTAAACGAATCTCTTCATTCTGGCACAGTTCCCTCTGATTGGAGGTTAGCGCATGTCTCTCCTGTATATAAAAAGGGCTCTAAATCAAATCCAGAAAATTACAGGCCAATCTCTCTCACATGTATTTGTAGTAAACTTCTAGAACAGATAGTGGTCAGTAACATCATGAACCACGCTGACAAACATACCATACTTTACCACTCCAACACGGTTTTCGAAGGTTAGTATCATGTGAGAGTTTGTTGATGCTGTCAGCTCCAACATTGACAAGGGAAAACAAACGGACGTCTTGATGATGGACTTTTCCAAAGCTTTTGATAAGGTTAGTCATTCGCTTCTCTGTCATAAGCTTCATTATTATGGTGTAAATGAGAAGGTTAACACCTGGATAGAAAACTTCCTGGATAATAGGAAGCAGGCTGTCCTCGTTGAAGGGGGAAAATCTAGCATTGTCGATGTCAAGACAGGTGTCCCTCAAGGCTCGGTTATTGGTCCATCCCTCTTTCTATTTTATATAAACGACATTCCTGTTTGCCTTCACTCCACTGTACGTCTATTTGCAGATGACACCATTGCCTATCTTACTATCAAATCACCATCTGATGCCCAGCTATTACAACAAGATGGGTTTTTTGTGGTTTTTTTCAAATTTTTACATTTAGTATACAATACAGTTACAATATATATGCATAACATGACAACACAAACATATACATTGTATATAAAGACACACACACTCATTCATTATCATACAAACATCAATACAATTATCAGAAAGGAAAGGTAGGATTGTTGAAAATTTGTATTACATTTTGAATTTCTAAGCTAGCTGTACATGTCAGTGTGAGCGTAATCAATATTTACATTTACTCAATATAACAATTATATTTATAAATTGATCAGTTACTTATGGTAAATCAGTCGTAATTTCAAGTTTGGGTGTTTCAAAAAATGTTTTGCCATTTTGGCCCATTCTCTTTGAAACTGGTTTAAGTAGCTTTCTCCCTTACTTCTAGCAATGTATTTTTGAGTTGTATATGTATCTTTTAGTGTATTTTTCAGGGCAATAATGCAGAGTTCGTTCTTGAGGCACATTGATTTGTAGATATATTGTTTTATTGTAAGGATGATCATATTATCCACTTTTCTGTTTATTCCATTCTGACGATATGTACCAAAAATGAAAAGAGTTCTTATTAAATTCAAATGGAATGAACAGTGAATTCAACAAATTTTCTAAGTTAACAAGTAAAATTTGAACTTTTTCAGTTCCATAGCGTATGCTCTATTGTTTCAATTTCAGTTTTACAAATGTTTATAGCTGTAACAATTCCGTGATATTGTAAGAAATTTGCTCTAACACCATATATTTGAAGAAGTTGTTGCTATCCTTTTTTAAGTCATTAACTACTACAACTCCCTTCCTTTACCAATCCTTATAAAAAACACTATTATTATCTATTTTGATTTTTTCGTTAAACCATATAGGCATGTCAGAGATCTGTTTTGAATCTGTATATTTTTCCTCAAGAATAGTAAGATTTTTCCATGCAAGCAAGACATCTTTCCAGAAAAGATTTGTACAGTTATTATGACAAAAGGAAATATAGTCTGGTCCACAGTTTACAAGAAGGTTTTTATCAATAGTTGAATTAAAAATAATTTGCCATGTTCCTGTTGTTGAGAGTAATCTTCTAATCCAAGTTAGTTTTAATGAGTCTATAAATGATTTATTATGAATCATTTTGAAACCACCATCAGAATTTTTTTTAATAATTACATCTCTTTTAATTTTATCAATCTTACTATTCCAGAGGAAGTTATATATTTCTGTATTTATCTTTTTGACAAATGTATTATCAGGATTTGGTAAAGCGATAAATAAGTGATTAAATTGAAAAAATTAGGATAGACTTTATTATATTTCTCCCTATTGGTGTAAGAATTCTCCTACTCCAAGTCTTCATCAAAGCTTTAAGATTACAACAAGATTTAGACAAACTAGCTCTATGGGAGATAGCATGGGAAATGTCCTTCCATCCTGACAAATGTAACGTCCTTTCCATCACCAACAACTAACACCCACAGCATCACAAATACATGCTGCACGGAAAGGAATTACAACACGTAGAGAAAGCAAAATATTTAGGTGTCACTGTACAGTCAAATCTCAAGTGGAAATGTCATATAAATAACATCTGTGGGAACGCCAACTCCAGCTTAGGCTTTCTCATGGGAAATGTTAAGATAAACTCTACATCTGTCAAGGAGCAGACATATAAAACACTTGTCAGACCATCCCTAGAATATGCCTGCTCAGTTTGGGACCCTTATACTAAAACAGACATAAGCAAAATAGAAATGGTGCAGCGTAGAGCAGCCAGATTAGTCACCAACACCTGAACTGGCAATCACTTGAAGACAGAAGGAGAGTCATGCGACTGACAACACTACACAAAACTATACACGACAAAGTCAATATAAGATTGCACCAACATTGAAATTAGAGTGTATGAATGTACAGCTGTACTATTTCAAACAATTTCACATGATCCTATAACCACATGCAAAAATTAGTAGGCATGGAAAGACCAATACATCCATGCTACAAGGATTGACCTGTGGGCCCAGCTCCACCTGCCACACCTAAAGTTTGGGAAAACTTCTCAAGTCCCTGTTCCATATCTTAGAAACAGAATCCCATAGCTGCTTACATTTAGCATGAAGAGAGCCCAGGGATCTGGCCCAACCCTGGGGACTTGGTCCAAGAGTCATAGCAGGGAAATAATTGAGATACAACCTTCTAACTATATTCGCATGTATACAAATACACTTAGATATAGAAATAAATAAATAAAATAAAAATAGTTGAGATTAATAAAGCAGGAAATGATATTTCCAGGAACAAAGTGAGTGTATTATATAACCCTTTACAGGTTTCTGGAAAATTCAACATTTGATCGATTCATAGCTAGGGAATAGTTGCAAGTTTTCCCAACTTCCTAGTCCCTCTGCCATTCATGTTTCTGGATCTAATGGTGTATGTATATTTCAGACAACAGTAAAGAATGCAGAAATTGAAGGTCTTCAGGAAGAATCCATCAAACTTGAAGAAAAGTTATCCAGCATACGTGATAAAATAATTACAAAATGGACAGGGGAGGAGTACCAGAAGCTGGCCGCTGGTCTCCAGACCAAGCATCAGCAAGTGATACAGAAAGGACAAGGTACTACAATATAAGTATACAAAATAATTTCACCTCTCAATTATTTTTTAGATACAACACATACATGTGCAAAATTGGGAAAATACTGCAATGTATTCAAAGAAAATGGGAATGCATTCAGTTTGTGTTTCGCCGCCACGAAGAAGTGGAAATGAGACTAAGGTGTTGCTTTTCTGGCGATGGTAGCGTCAACGTTAAGCTTTTGCATTTAAGTTAGTTTCACTGAATAAATCCTAGACCAACCAATCTTGGACCATAGATGCATCTTAGGTAGTACATCTCAGCCCATGCATCCAATACTGGATGCAACCTACAATGTACCATTCATGGTCATTAACCTTGTCAGCATCTCCATCAACATTAAGTTTTTATCCCCCGCTTTCACCGAAAGGGGATATTAATTTGGGTTTGTCTGTCAGTCTGTCTGTCTGTCTGTCAGTCACACTTCGTTTCCATGCCATAACTACCACAAATGTAGACCGATTTTCTTCAAACTTGATCACTTGGTTAAATGCCTTTAAGGGCTCGACCAAGTTCGATGACAGCTTTCAGCGAACTTGATTTGGAGGAGTTATGGCCCGTTGAATAATGAAAAACTTTATTATCGGCCGTTTCTGTTCATTAACTCTCGCAAATAAATTCCAATTCGTTCAAATTTGATAACAAAGTTTGTGTTCCTTTGTCTTCCCACCTATCTCGGGCACTCTTTGGTTTTTGTGTGATAATTGCTGTAGATATTGTTCAGATGTTTTAACCAAATTCTGTATGCACATTCGCATGCAAAGTTTGCCAACCAACTTGATTTGTACATATTTACGGATAATCAATGAGGTATAGGGTTGTTTTTTTCTTCAAGTTTCAAGCTATATATTATGTCTCAACAGCACGATACTCGCATGTTTAAACCTAACCTCAATCATGTTAACCTACAATATGTCCTGCAAGCAGGGGATATAAATTCCACAAATTTGCTTGTTGTGTTTAAGTTAGTTTCTCTGAAACTATAAGTGCTAGACCAACCAAACTTGACATGTGCATTATGCTTTGACCATTGCTGGTCAACGCTGGGCACAGGCGAGACATATCAATCTGAAAGGCTTGTTTGTAGAGGAAACCTCTAATGTGAAGCAGTGGACTATAAGAAGATCAAGGTGTTTGCAATTTGGCACCAATCTCTTAAAATCATTATCCATGTACATCAAATGTATATATGTTTCCCAGCATGTTTGTGAATGTTGTACAGGTGGATTGTCTTGTCAAGTTGTCATCATGTAGTTTTCAATCAAAATGCAAATTAAGATTTTTGTATATTGTCTATCTTTGCAGAGGAAATCAAAAAGCACCAGGGCAATGTGAAGAGGATGGAACAGCTCAGTAAAAGCAATATGAAAGGTATGAACCATTCAATTGTCACTGTGTCCATGGTTTTACGTCCCATTTTGACTTTGAGAGTCCTTGGGACCCACTTGATTGAAAATTGGGGGTTCTACATAAATATTTGGGGTCCTCATAAATGATGATTTTCAGTATTCATTGCTTTTAGTCATATACATCATTAACATTTGGAGACTGGTAGTTTTTAAGCTGTCATTTCAGGGGGTCATGGGGACACATGTGTTCAGATTATAGAGGTGCTGTAATTGAAAATGGGAGTATTTTAATCAGGATTGCCTCGTGTAAAACCCAGAGGTCCCTGTGTGTATATTTATATTTCCTTTGTATAGCCCTTAGATAAACCTAACCACCTCAGATGCTGTTATCAATTGATAACAGAAAAACTATTATATGTAAATGATTCCCTATCAGAAACACATCCTTAAATGACCTTAACTGTCGATAGGACTTTGAACCCTATAATTCCAAAACCAAACCTATTGGAATCAGTTCCGGTTCTGTCACACCCTAGGGGTAATTTTGGACCAGTCAAATAATAATGGCAATTAATGAGCAGCTTCTGATTTACTTTTGTTCCTGCAAAGATGACTTTTCCACTATTTTGTAAAATGTATCATGGACTTAAGAAAAAATCCATAAATTTTAAACAATTTTCTTTGTTGTTTAAGTGAAGTACATTTATAAGGATCGAAAAGCATCTTTATAAATTTTATGAGGGTATATAACAAAGTTCTTCCCAAACATTTTCTTAAAGATGCCCTACCTTATTGGGCCTTTTGTTTTACTGTTTGCTAATTGTCACTACATATGACAACAATGTTAGATGTTTAACACGGAGAGATACTTTTGACAAGCCCAGTTGGCATAATTTTAACTGATAAAAAAGAGCCGACTTGCAGCCTCTTCTGTTGTAGGAGTAATTACAAATATGTGTTTGATTTAAACATATTTTATTGCAATTTGCAATGGGATTAAGCACAATGTACATGGCAGCATCAACAATAAAAATAACACAAATCATCAATGAGAATTAAAAAAAAGGGGGAGAGAGAGAAGTAAGAAAACAGAGAAGGAGAAGAGATTTTAGAACCTACCACTGTCTTTTATAAACTTCTGTTCTGTTTTAAATACATGAATGTTTTCTCCACAAGAGACAAACAGAGACGGAGATGTACTGCAGTTACATATAATAAATACTTTCAGGCCCAGTTGAGGGTTGGCCTCCTCAAGGAAACTCTTCGAATTCACGAAGATCTCTGGAGCAAATTCTCGTGTTATGTTGTAATTTGGCGGTTAGATTTAAGGAGGACTGAACCAGGAGAAAATAGCACCCAAAACACTTGAGGAGGACTGAACCAGGAGAAAATAGCACCGAAAACACTTGAGGAGGACGACTGAACCACGAGAAAATAGGACCAAAAACACTCAGGGAGGACTGAACCACCAGAACATAGCACCAAAAACATTCAAGGACGACTGAACCGTCGGAAAATACCACCGAAAACACTCAAGGACAGCTGAACCACCGGAAAATACAACCGAAACCTTCCAGGAGGACTGAACCACTGGAAAATAGCACAGAAAACACTCAGGGAGGACTGAACCACCGGGAAAAACCACCGAAAACACTAAAGGAGGACTGAACCACCGGGAAATAGCACCGAAAACACTCAAGGAGGACTGAACCACCGGAAAATAGCACAGAAAACACTCAAGGACAGCTGAACCACCGGAAAAAACCACCGAAAACACTAAAGGAGGACTGAACCACTGGAAAATAGCACCGAAAACACTCAAGGAGGACTGAACCACCGGAAAAACCACCGAAAACACTAAAGGAGGACTGAACCACCGGAAAATAGCACAGAAAACACTCAGGGAGGACTGAACCACCGGAAAAACCACAGAAAACACTAAAGGAGGACTGAACCATTGGGAAATAGCACCGAAAACACTCAAGGAGGACTGAACCAACGGAAAATAGCATTAAAAACACTCGAGGCGGACTGAACTACCGGAAAAAAGCACCAAAACACTCAAGGAGGACTGAACCACCTGAAAATAGCACCGAAAAAGGTAAAACATTTGCTAGCCCAGAAAATCCCAGATGTTTGGTAAAATTATATTCATTGAACCTTATTCACTTATTCCCGGAAAAAGAAACTTTTACAAGAAGCCCATGTCATTGTCGGATAAATTTAAATATCCTTGTTTCAGTGCTACAAATATTCCTGAGAAAGACATTGAGAAATATGGTGAAAAAAAAGTTCTACAATGACGCTGGTATTTGAAACTTTTCAATATTTTTCAGTATTTGAAATATTTCAAATCATAGCGGACGCGTCAAATGCTGTACTACAATGTATAATCAGGGGTTTGATGATAAAGCTGTAACTGTACAAGTGCAAACTCACGCCTTTGCTCCAGGATATTAGCTCTCTGAACCCCCCTGTAGTTGGAAACTTGGAAAACACCCATACTGGGAAGAACTTTATTCCATTACAATCAAGTTCAGGTGCACGTGAAACCACCAGCAATTCAGTGGAAAAGGACCCGGACGAATCTAAGGAAAACGGGCTTGAAAATGCAGTGAACTCTACCAACTCTTTAACCATTCATATTCCAGACAGTGTTGGTTTGATGATCGTGGTAAAGGATGGTAAAAAGGTGTGTATGTACCACATATCTGTGAAATAAAATGGACCTGTCTTTGAAAAATGATCGAATTTGTGTATTTTTATCGTCATGATTAAGAGATTGTCTTTTCATACAAAAGAGAACAGGATCGTCGCCTACTTGACTGGGATTGACCTGGCTTTTACACCAGGATTTCGTGCCAAGCCCCTGTGTTTTACACCTGCCAATCGATCCTTGACTCCGATTGGCTGATATACACGAAAATGCCAAAATCGCTGTGTAAACACTGTTTCATCACCAACCCTCCTAAATGTACAAAAAACAGGTACCCTCATTTGAACCAATACTGAATTTACGTTAGGCTCCCGACAAGCACAGGTACAAATGACTGTCGCAGCAAGAAAAGTGCCCGCAAGCGATCCGCTAAAGTTTGGCTCGGTGCCTACAAGTAAACAGGCTCTACCGCTTTCTCTTAATCTCCTGGTAACTTCTCTTAATACACATGAAGCACTCGTAATATCACAAAACCACTCATAATATGATTGAACCACTGCTAATCTTATAAAACATGTACTAATATCATTGAAAAGTCATAATGATTAAGAGCAAATCGAGTAGATAAGGAGAAATCTATCCCCTAGTGATGGTGGGTAGTTTAAAGAATAGTTTGAAGTTAACTTGTGAAATCTTCAATTTTGAAAATGCATTAGTGATTATAACTACATGTACTATTTTTGTGTATCAGAACTACAGGAACGTGTTGAAAAGCTACAGGAGTTAAAAGGTAGCTTACTAAGACTACAGGAAGAGGCAGACACCTTACTACACATGAAGGAGAATGCAGCCACACAGGTGAATGAGGAGTCAAAACAGATACTCAAAGAGAAGGAGTGTAAGTAACGCAAATGTTTATTGCTGTGTCTTTCCAATAAGGGCTCTTTCCGAAAAAGAACTGTATTGGAGTGCATACTTGGGAGGGATATGACTGGAGGCACTTTTTCAGAGGCCCCACCACCCACCAAATACTTAAACTGATTTGATATAAGGAAGGAAAAGTAGGCAGATCTGGATTTGAATCCACCAGCCATAGTACTTCTCTATATTGAATTTCTTACCATTTAAAGATTCAGTTCATAAAAAAAAATGTTTAGAGTGTCCATTTCCTATAGGTATATAATATTCCTATGAATTCCTATATATTTGGCCATTCCTATATTTTTCCTATATCTTGCTAAAATTCCTATAAATTCCTATACCCCGGTACATTGTAACAAAATTATCAGTCATATTGTTCAGAATTTCATAAATTGAGTAGTGTTGAGAATTAGTACATGTAGTACTTTAATCATACAAGATGAAATTCCATGTACTAGAGTGATGTTCAAAGTAAATGTCCATCCTTGGGGGAAGGGGAACAAATTTTGTATAAATGGTGGGTAGGGCCCCCCTGGGGGCTGAGGGGCGGGGCCCAATAGGGGAAATATAGCAAATTCTTTAAAATCCTTCTTCTGTAGGAATGAAAGGATTTGTTTCATATTTGGTCTGAAGCATCCTTGGGAAAAGGGGAACAAATTTTGTATAAACCGGGGGTCTGGCCCCCCCTTGGGGCTGAGGGGCGGGGCCCATTAGGGTAACTGTAGCAAATTCTTTAAAATCCTTCTTCTGTAGGAATGAAAGGATTTGTTTCATATTTGGTCTGAAGCATCCTTGGGAAAAGGGGAACAAATTTTGTATAAACCGTGGGTCTGGCCCCCCCTAGGGGCTGAGGGGCGGGGCCCATTAGGGTAAATGTAGCAAATTCTTTAAAATCCTTCTTCTGTAGGAATGAAAGGATTTGTTCCATATTTGGTCTCAGGCATCCTTGGGTGAAGGGGAACCAATTTTGCTTAAACCGTGGGTGTGGCCCCCCAGGGGCCTGAGGGGCGGGGCCCAATAGGGGGAATATAGCAAATTCTTTACCATCCTTCTTCTTCTGTAGGAATGAAAGAATTTGTTCCATATTTGGTCTGAGGCATCCTTAGGTGAAGGGGAACCAATTTTGTACAAACCGTGGGTCTGGCCCCCCACGGGCCTGAGAGGCGTGGCCCAATAGGGGAAACATAGCAGATTATTCTCTAAAATCCTTCTTCTGTAGGAATTGGTCCATATTTGGTGTGGAGCATCCTTGGTAAAGGGGAACCAATTTTGTATAAACGGTGGGGGTGGCCCCTCTGGGACCTGAGGCGCGGGGCCCAATAGGGGAAATATAGATAAAACCTTTATAATCCCAATTCTACCATAGGGATAAAGGGATATTTTCCTAATTTAGTCTGGAACATCCTTAGGCAAAAGGGACACAATTTCGTAAAAACAGCTAGTGTGGCCCCCCTGTGGACAGAAGGGAGGGGCCCAATAGGGGAAACAGCAAATTCTTCAAATCCTTCTTCTGTAGGAATGACAGGATTTTGTCCAAATTTGGTATGAAGCAGCCTTGGGTGAAGGGGAAACAATTTTGTATAAGCAGTGGGTGTGGTCTCCCAGGGGGCAGAAGGGCGGGGCTCAATTGGAGAAATAGAGGTAAAACCTTTAAAACCCTACTTCAACTACCGGTATTATGGGATTTTATCCTTATTTAGTCTGGAGCATCAATGGACCAAGGGACTCAATTTTGTATAAATGGTGGGTATGACCCCCTAGGTTGCATAGGGGTGGGGCTCTATTTGAAGTTTGTTCCTCGCTATATCTCAAGTACTGGATGGATCTTTCTGAAATTTCATATATATTTGCAGCACCTACTTCATACCAATTATTTTAAACATATTCAGGTGAGCGATACAGGCCCTCTGGGCCTCTTGTTTGTTTTTAGCCCACCATCATCTGATGGTGGGATATTCAAATCACCCTGCGTCCGTGGTCCGTCGTCTGTCCTTAAACAATTCTTGTTATCAATATTTTTCAAGAAGTACCAAAGGGATCTTTCTCAAATTTTATATGTAGGTTTCCCTTGGTCCCTAGCTGTGCAGTGATCAGATAAACAACATGGCTGACGGGCAGCCATCTTGGATTTTGTTAGTGAAAGTTTGTTATCGCTATTTCTCGGGAAGTACCAGAGGGATCTTTCTCAAATTTTATATGTAGGTTCTCCTTGTTCGCTTGTTGTGTAGCAGTGCCTGAAATGGACGGTCGCCTGCTCGCCAATGGCGGTTAAAGTCTTGCTCGAGTGACCAAAAGTTGTCAAAAAGTGAGGTAGTCACTGGCCGAACAAAAATAGTTTGGGCGACTGTCGAAAAATTAATGAATTTTGCTTACATTGTACAAAACAAAAACTCAAAATAACAGTTAAGCAACATACAAAGCATTAAGATGTAGTCATGTACTTTAATTATATCACAAATAGGTGAGCTGTGCAGTTCTCCAACAGCTCTTGTTGTGTAAAAGCTGGTCCAAAGTCAAGAAACCATTAAAATATCATGTGTGTGTATGCAGATTCTGATTACAGAGTTTGGAATCATTTAGTTCACTACCATTTTTATCTGTGATCCATGTACATGTAACATGGAATGGGGTCTATGATGATAATGCATTATATGTAGCATTTAAAACTCGGCACAAAACATCGATAGAAAATCCTATAAATTACCTATATTTTTGGGCATAAGTTTCCTATATTTTTAAAAACAAAAAAATCCTATATTCCTACATATTTTTTGACTGAAAGTGAGTACACACCCTGCACCTTTCATTTGGTGAAAAATCAAGATAAGTTGATGACCTTTCAATTGGAAAGCATTAACCTCAAAAAGGGCCTGGAAAAAATATTACCCATATACTTAAGAAAAATATAGAATAATATATTTGTAAACCAACACTTAGCTACGTAAATTTTTCCTCAAAGATGTGACCTGTCTGTCCCACTTAATTTTGTTATCGTGAAAGCAGGGGATATTAATTGCGGTTTGTCCGTCTGTCTGTCACGCTTCATTTCCATGCAATAACTGCAACAAATGTTAACTGATTTTCTTCAAACTTGGTAACAGGGTTAAATGCATTAGGGCTCTGCCAATTTCGATGACCACTTTCAGCAGACTCTATTTGGGGGTGTTATGGCCCCTTGAATAACGAAAAACGTTATTATCTGCTGTTTCCGCGCAATAACTGCAACAAATGTTAACTGATTTTCTTCAAACTTAGTAACCGGGTTCAATGCATTAAAGGCTCGATCAAGTTCGATGACCACTTTCAGCGGACTTTATTTGGAGGAGTTATGGCCCCTTGAATAAAGAAAAACATCATTATCTGCCGTTTCCGTGCAATAACTGCAACAAATGTTAACTGATTTTTTTCAAACTTGGTACCAGGCTTAATTGCTTAAAGGGCTCGACCAAGTTCGATGACCAAATTCCTTCAAACTTGATAACAATGTTTGTGTTCCTCTGTCTTTCCACCCATCTCGGGCACTCTGGTTTTTGTGTGATAATTGCTGTAGATATTGTGCAGATATTTCAACCAAATTCCGTATGCACATCCGACTCATGCTTAGTTTGCCAACTGATGTGATTTGTGCATATTTACAGACAGTTAATGAGGTTAATAAATTCTGATGGATTAAATGATTAATTTTCACCGTAATACCTACATGTTCTATAAAAAGTCTAACTTCTGTATAAGTGGGTGGTTTTTTTTCCAGTTTCAAGCTATACATATGTCTCAACGGCTTGATACTCACATGTTTAAATCTAACCTCAATAATGTTTACCTATAATATGGGTTGTTTGAAGTGTTTCTGCCCAACACAGTTTAAGATGTTGTACATTTTATTTAATAGGGAGGCTACCATCTTGCATTCATGCATATCTTAAACCAGATTGTGTATTTGCTGCCGAAAAATGTAGAATCCAAATTAAGATAGACTGGAGGTAATCATTGCTTACAATATTTCTGTATGAAATATGTTTCCAGACCTGTCACTACAGGGGAAGGTGACACAGCAGAAACTGGTGGAGCTGGACAAGGCAGCCTCCATGTTCCACAGCAGACTCGGACTGACATTCAAAAAGACCACAGGTTAGTTATTTTGAGGCTCAATGACAAATCAATGGTCAAATGTAATCATGACCAGGTGTCGATGTAAAATTTCAGGGAAATATCTATTCTATTCTTAGCTCACCTGGCCCAAAGGGCCACGTGAGCTTATGCCATACTTCGGCGTTTGGACTAGGGTCATGATACTTGGTATGTTATGTAGACCAGCTGTGCAAATCTTTTTCTTTATTACGGTAATGAGATCAAAGGTCAAATTTAAGTGCTTGTCAGGAGTCAAATGTGAACATGGGTTAAAAGCTTTAACAATGTCTTTTCAAGTTCCATAAGGCCAAGGGTCCTGATATTTTGCCAGCAGGTACCTGGGATAGAGTGCTATAAAGTTCCTCATTAAAATGACCTTGATCTTCTTTCAAGGTCACAGGTCAAATATGTTAAAAACTTCAAACAACAATATCAACTTTAAGTGCTAGCCTGAGTCAAAGGTCAATGTGGGTTAAAAGCTTTAAAATTAAAATTTTAAATATCAAATAATATCTTACGAAGCATTTAAGAAATGTTAAAATTTCTTGTGTTCTAGTGACCAAATTTGGTTTGAAGCTACCTTTATGTCAGTTTCATGTAACAAAAGAAACAGGTGAGCAATACAGGCCCTCTGGGCCGCTTGTTTTTAAAAAATCAGAGGGGAATTTTTTTTTTTGACCTGCAATATCGTGAAAATATCACTCCCAGCAGAAACATCCTGCTTCACAATATAAAAACAATAAATGTCAGTAAAAGGTTCATTGTTAATGGAGTTCATTGTGTCATTGGATGAATGGGTCACTGAATGAAGGTTTAAAGTTGTTTGTGTTTAATTCAGCTTCATCACTTTAAACTGTGTGTCAAGAATTATTGTTATGTTAGCTGAAAGACAAGGAAAATCAGTTAGAGAAAGGGAGTGATCTTGAGATTTCATGTGTTACCAGGTAACCGTCTGCAATGCCTCTTCAAACACATCGACAGAGACGATCCAGAAGCTGTCTTTTATTTCTTCATCAAAGTGGAAGGTGACGACCGTCGATATGTCGGTAGGTGTTAATTCTGTGACAATTGATTTGACTTGTGGGCATATTTATGGAAGTATGTGAGACAAAGTACAGTTAAACCTCATTATACTGCCACTGTAATAGTTAGGCTGTATCGGTTTATTTTATGGAAATGGAAAATAGGGCTGGAATGGGTAACCGAGAACCCGGTTGCGGTTTGGTTACGAATACTATCCGGTTAGCAAATCTACATACCCGAAAACCGTCCCAAAATTTAGGTCAACATTTATTAGTTTTCCCAGTCAGAAATGTCTTTCCCGACTGCTGTTTGACAGACCTTGAAAACACTTGTGATCAGTATACTTGCCATACCATTGAGTGCATGCATACAATAAACTTACATAATACTGACTGACATTCTGTTGAATAATGTATTATCATTCACTGGCAGCTATCGTCTGTGTTTCTACCGGAAGTGATGCACAGAAATATGTGTGGATAGCATTGACAACACATAAATGTAAAGTGAAAAGTAGGGAAATTTACCAGTTAGGAGGCTAGCGATATGTAGCCGATTCATAAAGATTTTGGGAATTTGTAATGTTTGACAAATGTATTTATGCATTTAGCGAATTAAGTATCATATTTTTATCAAAATAAAGGGCCATTTGTTGCTGTACAAAAACCCACAGGGTTACCCAGTTTCGGTAGGATAAATACACTCCGTTATCAGACTTACATTATTTCTAACCGCTGCAGCCCTAATTTGAAGTATGTTAGTGGTACATATATTAAAGCAAGGTGGCAAGTGAAAAAAAGCATTATATCAAAGTTGAACTACAACCAAAACATCAATTTCTGCTTTTCGTACAAAAATAACCAATTCATGTATTGCTGACGTCGTTTGTCATACATTTCACCCTACAGTCTCAAATTGTTGTGATGCTTTATTTTAAAAAGATGACAATTCTTTTATAGAATTTTGTGAAGTTATTGGACAAAATGATTTCACATGCCTTTTAATAGAATGATATGATTTGGTGTATTGTATAACATGTGTAGAGGTTCACAATGAGTAATAGATGTATGTACGTGTGTAGAGGTTCACAATGAGTTATAGATGTATAACATGTGTAGAGGTTCACAATGAGTTATAGATGCATGTACGTGTGTAGAGGTTCACAATGAGTTATAGATGTATGTAAATGTGTAGAGGTTCACAATGAGTTATAGATGTATGTACGTGTGTAGTGGTTCACAATGAGTTATAGATGTATGTAAGTGTGTAGAGGTTCACAATGAGTTATAGATGGATGTAAGTGTGTAGAGGTTCACAATGAGTAATAGATGTAGGTACGTGTGTAGAGGTTCACAATGAGTTATAGACGTATGTACGTGTGTAGGGGTTCACAATGAGTTATAGATGTATGTACGTGTGTAGTGGTTCACAATGAGTTATAGATGTATAACATGTGTAGAGGTTCACAATGAGTTATAGACGTATGTACGTGTGTAGGGGTTCACAATGAGTTATAGATGTATGTACGTGTGTAGTGGTTCACAATGAGTTATAGATGTATAACATGTGTAGAGGTTCACAATGAGTTATAGATGCATGTAAGTGTGTAGAGGTTCACAATGAGTTATAGATGTATAACATGTGTAGAGGTTCACAATGAGTTATAGACGTATGTACGAGTGTAGGGGTTCACAATGAGTTATAGATGTATGTACGTGTGTAGTGGTTCACAATGAGTTATAGATGTATGTAAGTGTGTAGAGGTTCACAATGAGTTATAGATGTATGGTCGTGTGTAGAGGTTCACAATGAGTTATAGATGTCTGTAAGTGTGTAGAGGTTCACAATGAGTAATAGATGTAGGTACGTGTGTAGAGGTTCACAATGAGTTATAGATGCATGTACGTGTGTAGAGGTTCACAATGAGTTATAGACGTATGTACGAGTGTAGGGGTTCACAATGAGTTATAGATGTATGTACGTGTGTAGTGGTTCACAATGAGTTATAGATGTATAACATGTGTAGAGGTTCACAATGAGTAATAGATGTATGTATGTGTGTAGAGGTTCACAATGAGTTATAGATGTATGGTCGTGTGTAGAGGTTCACAATGAGTTATAGATGTATGTACGTGTGTAAAGGTTCACAATGAGTTATAGATATATTACATGTGTAGAGGTTCACAATGAGTTATAGATGTATGTACGTGTGTAGAGGTTCACAATGAGTTATAGATGTATGTAAGTGTGTAGAGGTTCACAATGAGTTATAGATGTATAACATGTGTAGAGGTTCACAATGAGTAATAGATGTATGTACGTGTGTAAAGGTTCACAATGAGTTATAGATGTATGTATGCGTGTAGAGGTTCACAATGAGTTATAGAGGTATAACATGTGTAGAGGTTCACAATGAGTTATAGATGTATAACATGTGTAGAGGTTCACAATGAGTTAAAGATGTATGTAAGTGTGTAGAGGTTCACAATGAGTAAAAGATGTATGTATGTGTGTAGAGGTTCACAATTAGTTATAGATGTATGTAAGTGTGTAGAGGTTCACAATGAGTAATAGATGTATGTATGTGTGTAGAGGTTCATAATGAGTTATAGATGTATAACATGTGTAGAGGTTCACAATGAGTTATAGATGTATGTATGTGTGTAGAGGTTCACAATGAGTTATAGATGTATGTACGTGTGTAGAGGTTCATCTTTTTGTCATAACTGTAGCAGTGATTTTCAAACTAATTTTTAGAGCAGTCTGTTCCCTTCATGCATGAATTGAGATAATATAGAAATATTTTTTATTGAAACAGGGAAGAATATTCAAGATTTTTTTCTTCATTTGAGGAAAAGAAAGTTCTTTTTAGCTAGGGAAGTAGCCTGCATTCGACTGGAAACCAAGGCAAACAAAATCACTGTCTAGTGACTTAATTTCCAAAATCTAGTGACTCCAATTGTTGATGGGCCATACAGCAATACCAAACAAAAATAATTGTCAAACAGTTACTCTGACACTTCCTAAAAAGGTTATTGATAAGAATACCCCTAACCGTTTTTGTTTCTGGGTGTTGTGTTCACTAACTTAATCAAATCAACTAGCACAGGCCATACGGCTAGTGGAATTGTACGTTCCTGATTCCTAAAGTTAAAAGTTTTAAATAAAGAAAAGCCTAGTCTAGTTTCAGATTGTGAACTGACTCATTCTGTTTGAACCGTCTGAATCTGTATAGTGTCAGTCAATTATATATAAACCTCCTGTATCTGTGTAGTGTCAGATTGTGATCCAGCTGTATCTGTGTAGTGTCAGATTGTGATCCAGCTGTATCTGTGTAGTGTCAGATTGTGATCCAGCTGTATCTGTGTAGTGTCAGATTGTGATCCAGCTGTATCTGTGTAGTGTCAGATTGTGATCCAGCTGTATCTGTGTAGTGTCAGATTGTGATCCAGCTGTATCTGTGTAGTGTCAGATTGTGATCCAGCTGTATCTGTGTAGTGTCAGATTGTGATCCAGCTGTATCTGTGTAGTGTCAGATTGTGATCCAGCTGTATCTGTGTAGTGTCAGATTGTGATCCAGCTGTATCTGTGTAGTGTCAGATTGTGATCCAGCTGTATCTGTGTAGTGTCAGATTGTGATCCAGCTGTATCTGTGTAGTGTCAGATTGTGATCCAGCTGTATCTGTGTAGTGTCAGATTGTGATCCAGCTGTATCTGTGTAGTGTCAGATTGTGATCCAGCTGTATCTGTGTAGTGTCAGATTGTGATCCAGCTGTATCTGTGTAGTGTCAGATTGTGATCCAGCTGTATCTGTGTAGTGTCAGATTGTGATCCAGCTGTATCTGTGTAGTGTCAGATTGTGATCCAGCTGTATCTGTGTAGTGTCAGATTGTGATCCAGCTGTATCTGTGTAGTGTCAGATTGTGATCCAGCTGTATCTGTGTAGTGTCAGATTGTGATCCAGCTGTATCTGTGTAGTGTCAGATTGTGATCCAGCTGTATCTGTGTAGTGTCAGATTGTGATCCAGCTGTATCTGTGTAGTGTCAGATTGTGATCCAGCTGTATCTGTGTAGTGTCAGATTGTGATCCAGCTGTATCTGTGTAGTGTCAGATTGTGATCCAGCTGTATCTGTGTAGTGTCAGATTGTGATCCAGCTGTATCTGTGTAGTGTCAGATTGTGATCCAGCTGTATCTGTGTAGTGTCAGATTGTGATCCAGCTGTATCTGTGTAGTGTCAGATTGTGATCCAGCTGTATCTGTGTAGTGTCAGATTGTGATCCAGCTGTATCTGTGTAGTGTCAGATTGTGATCCAGCTGTATCTGTGTAGTGTCAGATTGTGATCCAGCTGTATCTGTGTAGTGTCAGATTGTGATCCAGCTGTATCTGTGTAGTGTCAGATTGTGATCCAGCTGTATCTGTGTAGTGTCAGATTGTGATCCAGCTGTATCTGTGTAGTGTCAGATTGTGATCCAGCTGTATCTGTGTAGTGTCAGATTGTGATCCAGCTGTATCTGTGTAGTGTCAGATTGTGATCCAGCTGTATCTGTGTAGTGTCAGATTGTGATCCAGCTGTATCTGTGTAGTGTCAGATTGTGATCCAGCTGTATCTGTGTAGTGTCAGATTGTGATCCAGCTGTATCTGTGTAGTGTCAGATTGTGATCCAGCTGTATCTGTGTAGTGTCAGATTGTGATCCAGCTGTATCTGTGTAGTGTCAGATTGTGATCCAGCTGTATCTGTGTAGTGTCAGATTGTGATCCAGCTGTATCTGTGTAGTGTCAGATTGTGATCCAGCTGTATCTGTGTAGTGTCAGATTGTGATCCAGCTGTATCTGTGTAGTGTCAGATTGTGATCCAGCTGTATCTGTGTAGTGTCAGATTGTGATCCAGCTGTATCTGTGTAGTGTCAGATTGTGATCCAGCTGTATCTGTGTAGTGTCAGATTGTGATCCAGCTGTATCTGTGTAGTGTCAGATTGTGATCCAGCTGTATCTGTGTAGTGTCAGATTGTGATCCAGCTGTATCTGTGTAGTGTCAGATTGTGATCCAGCTGTATCTGTGTAGTGTCAGATTGTGATCCAGCTGTATCTGTGTAGTGTCAGATTGTGATCCAGCTGTATCTGTGTAGTGTCAGATTGTGATCCAGCTGTATCTGTGTAGTGTCAGATTGTGATCCAGCTGTATCTGTGTAGTGTCAGATTGTGATCCAGCTGTATCTGTGTAGTGTCAGATTGTGATCCAGCTGTATCTGTGTAGTGTAAGATTGTGATCCAGCTGTATCTGTGTAGTGTAAGATTGTGATCCAGCTGTATCTGTGTAGTGTAAGATTGTGATTCAGCTGTATCTGTGAAGTGTCAGATTGTGATCCAGCTGTATCTGTGTAGTGTCAGATTGTGATCCAACTGTATCTGTGAAGTGTCAAATTGTGAACCCCCTGTATCTGTGTGAAGTGTCAGATTGTGAACCTCCTGTATCTGCGAAGTGTCAGATTGTGAACCATGTTAACCTGTATCTGTGTACCAGGTTGTCTCATAGATTGTGAACCACCTGTTTCTTGGTAGTTTCAGACTGTGAACCATCTGTACCTGAATTGGAAATCTTGGCGGAGAAACTGAACAAGACCAACAATTTGCGATCATTTATTGTGTGCATGAGGAAGCGATTTCAGCAGCTTGTACAGGATAAGAAAAGTCAAAGACATTCGAGCGAGCAGGCACAACAGTGAATTTTATCATGACCAAACATTCAGTTTTACACGAAAAGAAGCAAGAAACTCTCTGTTTAACCATTCTGATGTTTTTAATACTTTTAGGGCACATTTAAATGTGCAGATGAATTGAACTTTTGGCTTGCTGTTATAGTTTTAACAAGTTTGATGCTATTGTTTTAACCCACTACCAATTGCCTTTTGTCTTTGGTCAGTCGTCTGTGTTTACCATAAGAAAAAATCTTGTTATTGCTTTTTTCAAGAGGTATTAGAAGGAACTTTCTTGAATTGCAATGTAGGGTTTTTCTTGTTGAACCATACAACTGAGATAACCTTTTCATGAAAACAAGTATGTACTTGATTTTTATCAAAGAGAAAACACCATTCCTATTGAAAAATAGTGTTATGTTTATTCATAATCTATAAAAAGTCTACTTTATTGAACAAAACACTTTTTTTTTGTATATCCTTAGGCTGTGCTATGTATTTACCAGGTAATTAAATGTGCTGAATATATGTTTAAATAGTAATACAGTACATTGTTTATGTTACATGGCGTTACAGTATATGCTTCGACAACGGTTGTCATGTATACATTAAATATCAGATATTATAAATATATGTCTGCAGTCTAACATGTAACTACTCATATAGTGTATCTGTTAGATCGTCAATATTGATTTTTATGTTCATTAAAATAAGAATTTATGAACTCGGTACATTGCCTTTGTCTTCTTTGTCTGTCTCGCCCTTCAAGTAAGGAAACATATTATATCTCAAATAGAATATTTAAATATTGTATAAACAATCATCGCTCCAAAGGGCCAGGTGAGCTTATGCCGTATGTACGGCGTCCGTCCGTCAAATGTTTCTTTTAACCGACTTCTAAAGAACTGGAGGACCTAGTGTCATGATACCTAGGATAGAGTGCTATAACGTTTCCTCATTAAAATTACCATGACCTACTTTCAAGGTCACAGGGCTTAAATATGTTAAAAACTTCAAACAACAATATCCCTAGAACCATTTGGACTAAAGTCATGATACTTAGTAATGTTATGTGGACCAGCAGTGCAAAACTTGTTCTTTTTCACAATAAAGAGGTCAAAGGTCAACTTTAAGTGCTAGTCGGGGGTCAAATCTCAACATGGGTTAAAAGCTTAAACAATCATCTTCTCAAGTTCCATAAAGCCCACGGTCATAATATTTGGCCAGTAGGTAGCTGGGATAGAGTGCTATTAAGTTTCTCATTAAAATGACCTTGACCTAGTTTCAAGGTCACAGGGGTCAAATATGATTAAAACTTCAAACAACAATATCCTAAGAACCATTTGGACTAGAGTCATGATACTTGAGTATGTTATGTAGACCAGCAGTGCAAATATTTTTCTTATTCACAGTAATGAGGTCAAATGTCAACTGTAAGTGCTAGCCGGTGTCAAAAGTCAATATGGGTTAAAAGCTTTAAAATTACAATTTCAAACAACAATATCTTGAGAAGCGGAATGTCTTGTGTTCTAGTTACCAAATTTGGTCCTAAGTTACCTATATGTCAGTTTCATGTAACAAAAGAAACAGGTGAGCGATACAGGCCCTCTAGGCCTCTTGTTGTGGTTGCTATGAATATACCATAATATAAACAACAAATTTAGTTTATATACTTGACTACTTTACATGCATCCATGAACGTTTGTATTAGGGAAAAAACACCCAGTACCATGGTAACTTCACATCATGTAAGAAAGTACTCTGGAATATTTCACTAGAATGATATCAATGCAAATTTTGTGTGTAACAAATTAACACTTTCATTCATTTAAACATTGTTAGCTCAACTGGCCCGAAGGGCCAAGTGAATTTATGGCTTGGTGCGGCGTCCGGCCGGCTTCAACTTTTTACCTTAAACAACTTCTTCTGAATAACCAAGAGGCTAGGATGAAGCACTACCAAGTTTGTTCAAATGAATGATCTTCACCGATATTCAAGGTCACAGGGGTCAAATATGTTGAAATCTTTAAACGACTTCTTCTGTAAAACCGAAAGGTCCAGGGTGATGATATTTGGTCAGAAGGATGTTACGATGAAGGGCTACGAAGCTTGTTCAAATGAATGACCTTTGCCCATATACAAGGTCACAGGGGTCAATTGTCATAAAAACTTTAAAATGACTTCTTCTGTATAACCGAAAGGTCCAGGTTGAGGATGTTTGCATGAAGGGCTACCAAGTTTGTTCAAACAAATGACCTTTACTCATATTCAAGGTCAAAGTGGTCAGTTGTCTTAAAAAACTTTAAACGACTTTCATCTGTATAACCAAAAGGTTCAGGGTGATGATATTTGGCCAGAAGGATGTTGGCATGAAGGGCTACCAAGTTGGTTTAAACACATGACCATCACTCATAATCAAGGTCACAGGGGTCAATTGTCTTAAAAACCTTTAAATGACTTCATCTGTATAACCAAATGTTCAGGGTGATGATATTTGGCCAGAAAGATGTTTGCATGAAGGGCTACCAAGTTTGTTTAAATGAATGACCTCTGCCCATATTCAAGGTCAGAGGGGTCAAATGATTGATATCTTTAAACGACTTCTTCTGGATAACTAAAGCATACAGGGTGATTGCTTGTTGATGTGAATAACCTGGACACACTTCCATGATCACATCTGGTCTTTAAAAGTCATCTTCTCTATAAACAATTTTATTATTCCACTTTTCAGGTTACAATTGTGAGATTAATACCAGGTGTGCGATGCAGGGCCTCTTGTTTATTTTATTGACGTTAAACAGTGGAAGGAATTGGGTACAAGTTGTTACAATTTATTAGGCCCTCTCATATTAACAAATTGATAGTCTGAAAGTTCTGTACTTCCATGGAAATGCAATGATGTGGTAATGTCTGATAAAGTATGGTAGGATTCATTAGGAAATACATTCTGAAATTTAACGATTATCACTGGTTGTTTGAACCATAGACATATTTCATGCAACTGTTACTGGTTGGAAAGTATTGTAATGAGAACTATATGATACATACATTTTGGAGTGTAATACTCGTACAGGTAGCCTACTGTACACTATGGTGATTCCAAATTTTGTCATTATATAAAAAAGAAATTCATGAATATATCAAAATAGCTTTTCGCATTAAAATCCTATGTTTAAAGAAAATGGAGAATGGGACTAGCTAAACTACTTATCATTGTGTGTGTGGCACAAGGGACTGAAGGTGAAACTAGCTAGTTATGGTGTATCGGGAAAGATATTAGACTGGTTAAGTAATTATGTTAGGAATAGACGGCAGCATATTTTTATTAGTAATAATCTTTAAAAACTACCAATGCTGGAGTCCCTCAAGCCTCAGTACTAGGCCCTCTACTTTTTATTTTATATATTAATGATATATCGAAAGCTTGTCTAAATTTGCTGCTGACGATACGTCTTTATTATGTTCTGTTGCATCTCCTCAGAATATCGAGAGAAAAAATATTAATAATGACCTGGAAAAATTCAAAATTGGGCAGATATTTGGTTTAAACTTTGTTTTATTCAAATTATGTTTGACAACACATCGTAATACAAATGGTAATTTATAGAAGGAAACAGAAACAAGTGTCATGACACTTATGTAAATTTGTTACCTGCTTTATAATCAACTTTTCAACACTAGCTACAAGAATGAAGTAATAAGTACAACAGAACAATTACGGGAATAGGGGAGGGGGTAATGGATTGGTATGCAGTGGAAACCAAGAATGAGTAACATATCAATTTACATGTGATCATCAGATGGTAATATCGTATTGCTATATTGCAATGAGTATGTGGAACACGATTCTGTATAATATAACTATGTATGATGATACGTTCAGCAATGCTGTAAATGGACATTCGATGGATGTTAGAAATGTATATACAAATTACATATCATAAATGACCACTAAATAACTATTGACAAATTGCAGTTCACATACTAGCCATCACACTTATCAAATATATGTCCATAGAACACTTTCCCATCTCGTCCCAGGCACATCCTGCTCTTTTAAGTTAACAAATCACTTTATAAATCTATCATAATCATGGCCAGTCACTGACATAATATGGTGTATATTAATACAATGGCAAAAACAATGAAAAAGCATACAAATTCAAATACATTTTAAAACATAAGTAAAACGAATGCAACACAGCATAGATATAGATATTTCAAAATGAAATTGTAAAAGGGCTAGAAAAATTGTAGTGTTTTCTTGATGGGTTAGAGTATCATCACCAAAGAGTAGAAGATTAATAGATAACTGATAAGGCAAACTAAGAATATGAAGCTGTCTAAGTGCTGTATATTTATTACATTTTAGTTTTCATTGGCACCACAGGAACAATTCGGTGAGGGTATGATGTTTTTTGTAAACAAGTGTTTCGTGGCTACATTACATACGCAGTCTTGCATGGTAGGTTTGACCCAGATGTGAATCCTGAAAGTAGTATGAAGGTGGACATTGTTTACTATTAGATTTCAGAAAGCCTTTTAAATTGGAAATGGAAGGGTTATTTCTAACATGTAATGGAAGAGAATTCCAATTGCAGATGGAAAAAATGCATTTAGATAAATATTTGTTTTACAAAGAATAGGGTCAGAATAATAAAATCTATTACCTGTAACTGAGCAAGATCGGATTTTCTCAGTCGAGGGTTAAGATTCTGTAACAAAATCCCAACCGAGGCGTAAGCCGAGGTTGGGATGTTAAAGAATCTTAACCCTCGACTGAGATAACCCGATCTTGCTCATTTACAGGTAATTGATAATTTTCTCGCACCTTTTAGTCCAAAAAAACTATTAAATTTTGCTTAAAACTAAAAGTATCCCGCCTTGGGCCTAAAATGATAATGACCTCTTCACTACTTAAGCTACATTTCAACACTTCAGGGTAAAAATGTAGTCTTTCCTTACATAGATGACAACGTATTTCAGTGTAGATTATATTTTATCTACAACATCAAACATCTAACAACATCAAACCTATACATATAACGACAAAACAGGACATTTATAATGCAAATTGTCAATTTCAAGCAGTTAACGTGCGGATGAACATATCGCAGTGTAAATATTCAACGAAATGTCACGTAAAGGTACAAGACTATTCGGATGAGATAGAAAAATCTAGCATGGGGTATGACGTGGGATATCTCTGTCTGAGGTGCGAGAAAGTCTGGTATTATAACTATGAACATCACTAACTGAATTAGGTAAGAGATTATACAGATACTCAACAGTATTTTGATAAAACATTTTACCGTATGGAATTGTAACATTTCCTTTATGATGAGTCTACGGTCTATTAATGTATTCCATTCAACTTCTGTATATAGCTTGTCTAAGTTTGCAAGCTTAGTAGCACCTGAAACAATCCTAGCAGCTTCCAAATTGACATTCTCTAGTTTAGAAATATATTCTTTGGTAATACTATCCCAGACAATATCAGCATATTCTACAAGTGGTCTAATAATCAAAAAATATAAATTTTGTAATGTCTGCCTGTCGAGTTTAAATTTTAGAATTTGCACAATATATAATCTAGACGTTGCTTTCTGAATTGGCCAAGTGAGCTTATGGCATGCTGCAGCATCCTTCATCCGGCGTCCGTCCGGCGTCAACTTTTTATTTTAAACAACTTCTTCTCAATAACCAAGAGGCCCAGGCTGATGATATTT